TTATCACTTGTATTTACCACGAATTTGGTAGCTAGCATGAAAAGGCGTACAGCTGCACTTATAGAATCAGATAGTGATTACACAATGTATTAATTTTAGTTAGTTAGTTATGTATTTTTTATATAAAAAAAAAAATTTTGAATTTACTTACTTGTAGCCGGAGTTAGAGGCGGTTGGATACTTATGACTGCTACTGTATATAAATTTTTTTATATATTCATAGGTTATCTTAATTTTTTTCTTTTTCTTTTAAAAATTTTTATAATTAACCTGTATTTCTTTTTCTTTTTAATAAATTTTTTATTCTTTTTACTTAATACTTATTTTTATTTTTATAATTTTGGAAGTTAATTTTATATTTTATATTTATTTATATTTTATGTCATATAATTTTAATTAATTATTTATCTATTATAATTTCTATTTAATTAGTTATTTTCTAATCATTTAATATTATTAATGATATAGTATTTTATGAATTTCTTAATTCTACATATAGTTGCTGCTCATATTTTATATTTTAGAATCCCATTCTAATACTATATTTAAAATTTTACATTTTATATCTTATGTTTCAAATCCTAATCCAAATTTCTAAATCTCATTTAATTTATAATATATTTTTAAGTATATCTTAATTAATATTTTACTTACAAAATAAAATAATAATCTTTTGAATCTTTCATTAAGATAAAACTAATAAACTAAATATCATTAAATTATAATTATTAATTATGATAATATTATTTATTAAAGTTTTAGTTAAAGAAATAGGATTTGAGATAGGATGGTTTATTCTATATAAATATAATATAAGTAATAAGCATAACTCTATAATATTTAATTTTTATAATTCTATATTCTCTTCTGTTGTATTTTTTTTATCAAATTTAAGCAAGATTTTCTTGTTAATTTAAATTTTTCTTTTAGATTGTTTATTGATATTAAGATAAAAATTTTTTAATATGATTTTAAGATTTTTTATTATGCAACTAGTTATTTTGCATCAGTTACTAATTTGTCTTCATGTTATGATTGGCTGATATCATTGAAATTAGTTAGATTTAGTATTAGAATTAAGGTTAAGATGTGTTAGGTATTTTATTATTAGGATAATACTTAGTGATGTTTCAATTTTTATTAAATATATGAGAAACTTCAGAATTTTTTTTGGTAAATAATGTTTATTCATCATGCTTTAACTGGTAATTACTATACTTTATAAAGTTTATAAAGATAAATGTAATTAATTTGTTAATATGGAAAACAGGTTAAATTAATAAATAAAAATAGATTTAATGAAAAATTCTATGATCAATTATAACTGAAACCTTGTATTAATACACGAAAATGATATATGAAATATATAATATAAATTTTATTACTAAAAAAAACTATAATATTTTACACCAAAGGTGATTTAATTAAAATAAAAAGTTTTATTTGAAATAACATTTTTTATAATAAATTGTTAATATGGTATTTAATAAATCTCAAAGATAGCAAATTATTTAAACAAATTAAACAAATCTATCTTAAAAAAACTATACTAAATCTTACTAAAATAATAAGACTATATAAAACTTTATTAAGAACCGGTAAAATAAACATCCAAATCTAATAAATTTTAATAAGCAAACAAAAAAAAAATTATGTTTACATATGATGATCAATAGCTTGTATCTAACTTCAAAAAACGATGTCACATACCACAATTAAATTTAAACAGAATCTAACAAGATAAATGCAATATTAAAGTTTTTTTTTTATTTTCTTGCCACGGATACAATGTGTTTACTCATGAAATGTCTGTATAAACAGATAACTTGTCGTAAATCATTTATAAATAATACCTTTACATGATAGCAACGTATGTGAAATACAAAAGAATTAAAGAAAATTTCTCATGAGCCATAAGGAAAATGTAAATTCTCTAAAAAAGGATTGTCATGAGCAAATCGATTAAATAAAGACATTTAGCTAAGCTCATCATACCTTCCATAGTAGATATCCGCGAAATCTGTTTCCTAAAAAATGTAAACCTTTATAATTTCAAATATGCAAAGAATCGTATAAATATACTCACATTACAAAAATAATTACTCCTTAGATAGCATTATGAATTATGCTCATTTGATGTTTCAATGCCTCCTCCTTGTTGGACTACGTGAACGCCTTCTGTTATATCGTCTATCTGGTGACTTTGATCGTGAACGTCTCTCGTATGAACGTCGGTCACTTTAATAATTAACATTTACATAAATAAAAAGATATTATCGCTTAAACAATCATTTATGTTTATAAGGTATAATTCATACTAATCATAGCGTCCACCACGGTAGTCTCTGTGTCGATCACGTTCATATCCCCGATCTCGGTCTCTGTCACCACGATCATGGTAACTTCGTCCATCTTTAGAATCACCACCACGATCTTTATTCTTTTCTTTAAGTTCTTTTAATAATTCTCGTATTTTCAAATATCCAAGATGCATCTAAAATTGAAACAAAAAATTTTTTTAAAAAAAAAAAATAATAAAACGCAAAGAAAAAAAGAGATAAGTACTTTTCCACCAAAATGGTCGGCCAACCTAACTTGCAAATTTATTTATAATTAGTTGTTTAATAATAATAATATAAGACATAATTAAATATTCAAATAAAAGTTTTCCTGTTCCTACCGTCTATCCGAATCAAAAATAGACAAATAAGCGCTACACACTTCACAAACACGCAACTTTTGTTGTTGCGATGGACCGTTACCTTCTGCCGAATTTTTGTGCTCTTTCTATTTTAAGGAATGATTTTAAATGAGTTAGAAAACATTGTTATTTCCAGCGAACGACGATAAATTATACTAACTTCTTTCTCTATCTTTAAAGCTTTTTTATCTTCAACATCCTGCAATAATTTCATTGATTCAGTAACTTTGCCTTCTTCACCTAAATATTGATTTATATAAACCTATAAATAATTCGAAATAAGTTTCTCCCGATTAACAACTAAAATATTATGTTACCCAGAACTTCTACTTCTTTAGTCAATTCCGATATTTCGGTTGCTAAATTTTCGATCTCCTTCATCTATGAAAATACATCAAGAGATAGTAAATCTTTTTTTTTTATAAAAAATTTGTAAATTTATAGAAAGATTAAATTTAGGCTTTAAATTTATACATACCAATTGTGTAACTTTGGCGCTATCTTCTGGTGTTTTATCCAAACGTTTTTGTGCACTTGCAATTTTACGATCGCATTCTGCAACAAAAGTGGCAAGATTACGTTCAAATTCAGCTTCATAATCACATTCCTTTCTTTTTTTTGCTTCTTCATATTCGGATTTTAATCTTTCTGAATGAATTTTTGGGCATGCTCCGAGATCCATTTTCTAAATAGTAAAAATACATCCATTAAAACCGTGTAAAATGAATGATTAAAAGTTATATTAAATTATATAATATTATTAAATATCAACCGTATTGCTGTTTACATAAATTACGGTTTTATATTATAAAGGAATTGATGTTAGGGAAGTTCATTCTTTTAAAAAATTAAGCGATTATAAAAAATTTGTTATAAAGAATTGAACTGATATATAAAAAGTTCCTTACGTGAAAAGGTCATGTGGACAAAGTCCACAAAGGTAATTTCGACAAACTTTTTCGTCATCGTATTTCATATGATCTGGAACACCGCCTAGTGCCTCGGCTCCCATTAAGGCCTTATAAAAGTACACGGAAAATATTTTGTAACAAATTTATAAACTTGAACATAGTAAACTAGTATTAAAGTTTAGAAAATTAGAATAATTCATACCTCCAACGCTTTCCTTGCTTCTGCTGCCATATTTTATTTATAAAATGATAATCTTTCTCAAAGATTAAAGATGAATTTATTAATTTTATGGGTTTATTACTTATAATTACAAATAGTGTTACAAAAAATTTGTGCATGTGATTTACGATATATCACGTGATTTGAAATCATAAATATAATGTTGATTTATTGTGATATCAATAGATAATGAAAGCAAATTTTATATAATTAGATATAATAATGATGATGATACTTTATTTGATATGCTAATATTCTGAAAAATGGTTAAAAAAAAGTATTAATTTTTTCTAGTATATATAGCTTAATTTTACTAACAACTTTGTCACTTTAATTAAATGCCTTATTAATAAGCATTTTTTAACTTTTTCAAATTTTTTTTAATTTACTTTCTATCAAGTCTTTTTTAATTTCATTTTTCATCTAATTTATTTTATTTTTTATTTAATTTACTTTTTTTTATATTTTTTAATTTAATATTTTTTTTTATAATAATAATAATTAACTTTTAAAATACATAGTATTTTTTTTTTTTAGATATTTTACTAATCTACTCTTATCTTTTTATTTTATGTGAT